AGCAGGAAGGTTGCTGTGTTGGGCCCTTAGCCTTCAATGCTCACGATGAACTATCCCGAATCTACAGATGAGGCCACGGAGGCCCAGAGGTGACAACTGTTTTGCAAAAGTCACATGACCCGCATTCTGAGGAGATGAGATTCAAGCCTAGATCTCTCCAGTCTTCAGTGTCAAAGCAACCCCTCACCCACACAAACTGCCCCCAAGGTCAGGCACTGATAAAACCGACAACACTCCTTGATCCTTTACGAGCATCAGAGATTATCATCTTTTTTTTAATATATATCAGTGCAAATTGAAGGTTCGAAAATGAATCTGGGGACTTCCCTGGTGGCACAGGGGATAAGAATCCGCCTGCCAATGCAGGGGACACGGGTTCCAGCCCTGGTCCGGAAAGATCCCACGTGCCGCAGAGCAAATAAGCCCATGCGTCACAACTAATGAGCCTGCGTGCCACAACTGCTGAAGCCTGTGCTCCATAACAAGAGAAGCCACCACAAGGAGAAGCCCGCGCACGGCAACGAAGAGTAGCCCCCACTCGCCACAACTAGAGAAAGCCCACATGCAGCAACAAAGGCCCAACACAGCTGAACAAATAAATAAAATTTAAAATCTTGAAAAACAAAAATGAATCTGTAAAACTCACCGTTTTCAGTTCCAGCAAATCCTCAGAATCACGCAAGAGCTATTGTAAAAGAGCCCTGTGACTGTGGGCAAGTCACACCAACTCTCAGCCACAGTTTTCCATCTGCACAATTAAGATAATAGCACTCATGGACTTTTCCTGGTGACACAGTGGTTAAGAATCCGCCTGCCAATACAGGAGACACGGGTTCGAGCCCTGGTCCGGGAACATCCCATATGCTGCGGGGCCTATAAGCCCGTGTGCCACAACTACTGAGCCTGCGCTCTAGAGCCCGCGAGCCACAACTACTGAGCCTGTGTGCCACAACTACTGAAGCCCGTGCACCTAGAGCCCGTACTCCGCAACAAGAGAAGCCACCGCGATGAGAAGCCCGCACGCCGCAACGAAGAGTAGCCCCTGCTCGCCACAACTAGAGAAAGCCCGCGTGCAGCAACAAAGACCCAATGCAGCCCAAAAATTAATAAATAAATAAATTTATTTGAAAAAAAGAAAAGATAGTAGCACTCACTCACTGGGTTGCTGGGAGGATTAAATGAAAGAAGAGACCTAAAAGCCCTTAGCACCTTGTAGGTGCTAATAATTGTATGTCTTCTTATTTCCTGCAATAAATGTTATTGCATAAATAATCACTTAACAATAATAACTGTTGAATATGTCCCTTGTGTTTGAGGCTGAAACTACTGCATTTAATCCCCCTAGATCCTGGGTGGTAGGTGTGACTTTTATTGAGACTCAAGGTGGGTAAGTAGTTTGCCCAGAGTTCACACAGGAAGTGGGAGGCCTGGAATTTGAACACAGGCACCCTGAATTTAAAGGTCATACTTTTAGCCATCCTGCCATCCTTCCCTCTGGAAAATGAAGATGAATAGATATTTCATGTGACAAAGGCTGAATTTGATGACTTGTATTTTGCTCTCTTAATCCCCACCCCAACTCCTTCTTGGAAAATGAAAGATGTTTGTGGGAGCTTCCCACTGTCTCCAGGACGCTACACTCAGAAAGCTTCATTGATTTCTTTTACTATATGGTTGCAATTTTGCCTACTCTTCATAAACCCTCAAAAACAAGCCTCATGAGGTCACCAAAGCACCTGGCAGGTGTGATGATCCTAAAGCTCTTCTGTGCCTGATTTCTCTCCAGAGAAGGACTCGTCCCCTCTACCCAGGGGTGGCAAAAAGAATTAAAACTTTACTAGGACTGTGCCTCCACTGACTTTTCCTTCATTATTTATTTGCTTCTTTATTTACACTCCTTCAGAAAAGGACTCTATGTGGAATTTCTCATCAGAGATAAACACTAAAATATCTAGATGAGGAAGAGACACCCACAGTCCCCACAGAATAAAGGGAATTGATACTGATGTAAGGCCATACCAAGGTCCCCCTGCACAAAACCATTTCCCTGATTATTTTAAAATCTGTATCTCTAAAGAAAAGGAAGATCCACGGAGAGAGGAGTGAGGAAGGGAAGGAAAGAGGCCCCCTCCTTGACACCATGTCTTATTATTGGGAAGAGATTCCTCCATTATCAGTTCTGGACCACTTGCCTTGTTGAGGACAAAGAAAAGCAAACATGTGATGGGCTGCTGTTGGGATGGATGGCTCTGCAGGACTGAGGGTAGGGGCAGACGGAGGCAGTACCAGAGAAGCTACAAACAGGCTGTGGCTTCTCTCTGTGTCTCAAGAAGGGCTGCCGTGACTGAAGTTAAGGTTAGGTCTCTGAGGCTTCTCAGATCCACCTGGTAAATATTTCCTGTGCTCAGAGCTAGGTGTGGAGGGATCAAAAATAAACTCACAATTCCTGCCTTTAAAGAGTTCTTAGTTACAGGAAGAGGCAGGCACACAAATGGATAATTCCAAGATGATATCCTACAGGATCCATTCACACTTCCTACCACTGTCTAGTGAGCTTGTGCTCTGTGCCGGGCATTGTGCAGCATGATGGGGATTCAGGGTAACCGTCAGCTTGGAGTCTAATGCTGTAGTCTAATGCTGAATATGCTGTGAGAGCACAGAGGAGGGTTTCAACCCAGGCTGGAGAAATCCTGAAAGGTTACATGGAGGCGATGACAGACAGAAGAGAATAGAAAGGGCACTCCATGCGGAAGAAATGGCATGACTGAATGCTCAATAGTATGAAACATTTTGTACCTAGGACACGACAAGACTTGTCATGTGCGGACCTCTGCTTACAGCACTGTGACTTTTAGATATATCTAAGAAAAAGCCCTCCTGTCTACCAGTGATTGGTCCTTTAGATTGACCTCTAGAGTGTGGGCTATAGCAACTTCATGATCTCATCCTCCAGGAGAAGACACAGCTCCGCGGAGCTCTGAGTAAAAACATGTAATTGGGTGTATTCTCTTTCACTTGTAGTCGCCATCATTTAAACATCCTCCCATGGCAAGTTCCCTGGTGATGAACCCCACAACATGGTGTGCAATCTTTGCTTATGGCTCAGAGAAAACCTTTAAAGAATAGCTGGTTAATGCAGGGGTTCAGAGCTAAACCCAAATTACCTGGTTAGCTGGAATGTGGCAGGGTTGCAGTGCAGGGGGGATGCACATCTCCTTTGCTCGCTGGGGAAGGAATAACATGGACGGGGGCCCTACTGCACGTCAGGCCCGCATGGTTGCACCTGGCCCTCACCCCCCCAGTGTGGTCCCTACTTCACTGATGAGGTGCCTGAGGCTAGGAGACCTTCACTAACCTTCCCAAGAAACTCCTGACCTGATCGAGTCAAGCCAAGATCATTGCGGCATCCACTTCAAATGAACTTCCCTGAGACTTCCCATGGGCATTCATCCTTGACGTTCAGGTCTCAGCTCAGACAGGAACTCTCTCCATCTAAAGAGTCACTCTCTGTCACCACTCTTCCTTTCATAGCACTTACCCTCCCTGACAGGACAGCATGGACATATTCATTATCTGCCTCTCTCTCCCAACTCCACAAGGCAGGGACCCTTCCTCACTCCTTCACTGCTGTATCCGTGATGCTACAAGCAGAGCCAGGTACATAAGAACCCCAAACAAATAAATGCTTTCTTACTGAACAAAGCCATCTGACAGTCCCTAAGCCCAGCCCTTCCACTCCACTGGTTTCCTCAAGGTGGCGGCCAGTGGCCCATGGGGTGTTTGTGGGGAACCCCTTGGAGGCTGATGAATGATCCTACATGCAGGACTCTCTTGAGTTTCTCAAGGGTGAGGGCAGGCAGTCCATAGATTTTCATTTCTACCTTAGCAAAAGGATACCATCTAGCAATGTGACAAATGTTTGAGATTCATAAACTAATAGTATCCGCAACTCATGTTCCCTGATGATTCAGACTTCTACCCACAAGTCTGGCTCAGGCTGGCACAGACCTCTCAGGCAGCTGTCGCTATCAGCAAGCGCTGTTGCCAGTCACCATGAGCGTGGCCTTGCCTTGCCTCTGACTTTCAGTGGCTGCTATGGTTGTTTCAATCAATTCTTGTGTACACTCATGCTTGGTGTGTATTTTTGTTGATTGCTCTGTTTGGTGTGGTACCATTTTGATTGTGATTTTGTTCCTCTCCAGCATTTTATTGTCTCCAAGTTATTTTTCCACTAAAAAGCAGGGATAAGACCATCAGCCCTACTTAAGTGGGTCACAGTCCTGAATGTTTGGGAAACAGTCCTTGCACCTCACCTCTTGGCCTCATGTAATCCTGAATTACCTTGCTCGCCTTTATTCTGTGACCGGAGGTATACGTTCCTAAAACTCACCTTGCTGGGCAAAACGGGGAGAATGGGGCTAGAGGCTTGACACTCGAAAATGTCATCAGTGACACATAAAAAAGAGAGAGAGGGAAAACGTTAGCACGGTGTTACTTTTACACAGGTTAAATGGTTAAGAAATAGATAAGTACTACAATAAGTAGTACTTGAAGAGACCTGAGGTTTGCTTGTGGAAGTGGACACAGGAAAGGTTGCAGCTGGTACGTTACTGTGAAGGGGGTTTTCTGATGGGAATGGAAAGTTGTAACAGTGGTCCAGGCGGGTGTGGCTTTTCACACATGGTGAGGGGAGTAGCTGGTAGATGTTTGAGTTCTGTGCATGTGCCTGTTTTGTACATTCCTATATGGCTCGGCTCAGCTCAGCTGAGTGCAGGTTTCTGCAGTCACCTAATATTTCTCGTGCAAGAAATCTTGCATAAGCAAATGTGAAATTCCCATTATCCTCAAATTGTTTCCTAATATATCAATTGTGGTGGAACAAATTCACGTTTTCAAAACATGTGTTATAGCGGAACTGTCTGTACCTGACTTACTGTCATTCTTCCCTTGTTTGCTCAGATTGGACCAAGAGGATTGAGTACCAGCCTGGCTCAGGGAGCGTGCCCCTGTTCCCCAGCATCCACCTGGAGACGTGCGACGGGGCTGTGTCCTCCATCCAGATCACCACAGAGCTGCAGACCAACTACATCGGGAAGGGCTGTGACCGCGAGACCTACTCTGAGAAATCCCTTCAGAAATTATGTGGTAGGTTTTTCCCTGTTGAGATTATTTTTTAATTGTTTTTTAAACAATATATACAAAGCATATGTTATTATATTATGAAAGAATCACCCCTCCCCACTTCATTGGTATGTGTAACCTCTGGATGGATATTGTTGACTTATCATGGTTAAAGGGTCAGAGGGCACAGCTTTTGGCATCAGACACACCTGATCAGATCCCACCATGTACGACCTGTATGGCTGTGGGCGAGTGATGTGACAAAGCCTCTATTCTTCATCAGTAAAATAGGGATTCATGACCTCATGTGTTGTTTTTTTTTAAATTTATTTATTTATTTATTTATTTTTGGCCGCGTTGGGTCTTCGTTGCTGCACGTGGGCTTTCTCTAGTTGCAGTGCTCTGGCTTCTCATTGTGGTAGCCTCTCTTGTTGCAGAGCACGGGCTCTAGAGCGCAGGCTCAGTAGTTGTGGCGCACGGGCTTAGTTGCTCCACAGCATGTGGGATCTTCCTGGCCCAGGGCTCAAACCCTTAGTCCCCTGCATTGCCAGGCGGATTCTTAACCACTGCACCACCAGGGAAGCCCGACACCATGTGTTTAAGAGCACCTAGCACAGGGCCTGAAGGAACAGGGGTCGCTTCCACTGTGTTGGTTTACAGAGAGGTGCCTGCCCCGGGGGCCAGTGTGAAGGGTGGTGTCAGCCACTTGGGGAGAGGCGGGTCTCCTACCCCAGGACCAGCCATGGAACTTGAGGGCTTAGTGCACATGAAAGTGCAGGACCCTTTTCCAAAATTATTAAGAATTTTAATGCAGCAACAGCAAAGCATTAAACCAAGCTGGGGGCCTTGTGTGATTGTTCGGGTCACAAGCCGGTGAAGCCAGGCCTGGCTGCCCAAGTCGGAGAACAGCTAGGGTGACAGTGGAGGTGGGAGCTGGAAAGTCCAAGTGTGGGGGACAGAGGGCTTGCTGTCCGCAGGCTGAAAGATGGCGCCCCAAGAAAGGAGCAGGCCGGAACTAGGAGCCAGGCTGCTGGAGGTTCTATACAAGGAAGCTTAGCTTTATTAAGCGCCTGCTGTGTGCACCCTCCTAGAATCTTCACATGCCCTACCCTAAGTTCCCCACTACACTGAGGAGGGTCTTATTCACCCAGTTTTAAAGATGGACAATTTGAGGCCCAGAGAGGAAAAATGACTTGTTCAAGGTCGTGCAGATGGAAAGTGACAGAGCCAGACTTTGAAGGTAGGTCTATGGGAATGAAGGGCTCTTTGGTTCAGGGTCTGTGACTCTGGGTCAGGCCTCTGGAGCTGGAACGTAAACCGCTCAAGTCAGCTGTGGAATGAGACACTCAGTACGGTGGGCATGGTGCCATGTGCTTGGTAAACCACACCGTGCACGGGTAGATGGGCCTCCTTCATCCCCACCACATATATTTCATTTCTTTCCTGTTCTCTCCAAGAATATACAGGCCCTCACACTGACTCTCCAGCTGGGCTGTGGGCAGCTTAGGAAAGAGCTTCCTCTTAGACGGGGCCTACACTTGGGGGTAACTCCATCCCCACCAAAGGAAAAGGAGGCTCCCAAACACACAGCATAGCCTGCATCCCCTCCTGGGGACCCCTCCACTACTCTCTTCGGGGCAGTTTTTCTCTCTCAACATTGACACACACACACACACACACACACACACACACACACACACACACACACACACACACACACACACACACACACTCATGCACACACAGTGCACACACATGCGCACACAGGTGCATACAGGCACACACAGGTACACACACGCATACACAAATATGCACACACATGCACATAGGTGCGCGCGCGCCCCCCCACACACACTTTCACACACACAGCTCTTGCCCAAAGGACCAAGTGACAGTTTGAGAACTGAATGTGAAATACACCCTGCTCGGGTATCACCGCGTCCTATTTGTCATGTCACCAGGCTGGCAAGGAGGGCATGTGGGAAGGCACGTTTTTCCAGAATGATGCAGGAGATTGGGAAAAACATCACGACCTCGATATTCCAAACTGCTCTTGTAAAAATGACTCTCAGCGGCCCGCAGTATTGAGAAAGCTGCCTCTGGTTCTCTCCTTCAGTCCAGGAGCGGAGAAGCCAGCTCCGCTGACGTCTTACTTTGAAAGAATACCCCATTTCGCTCCCCGCGCACCTGAATTATAAGTCAACTCCACCCCATGCCACCGCGGGTGACGGTCATTTCCTAAACTCCTCCAGGTTAGAAAAAGATGATGGAATCAGCTTGTTAAAGATCAGATGGGCCCAAGGGCACACACTGGTGATTTGATTCTGAATGTTGCGAGGGGGAGACCAGGAGATAGGGAGAGTGAGAAGGATTTTCTGAGCGAAGAAACTTTAGAGCCAGATTGCATCTGGTTGTTAACATAGCTCATTGCTTCTGGGCTGCCTGGCAGGAAGGCAGGTTAATTCAGTCAGGGAAGCACTTTCCCCTGAGATACGAGCTTATCTGGTGCTGGGAGCGACCATTTGTTAAGAGAGGTCTGCCTGTCTTTCTGGTGACCTTCCCGGCAGTGCCACCCTCCCATAGCACTTCTGGGAACCCTAGGTGAGCCTGACAGGCAGGGCCACTCCTGCCTCCAGATTAGGAGTCTGACTCTTGAATCGGCAGAGGGAGAGTTCAGGAAAGAAGGGCAGGGACAAATGAGTGAGACAGATGCCCATCTGCTCTGGGGTCTTCCTCAGGCCCCACGTGCTCTCCAAACCATGAGGGAAAGGCAGGCCAGATCGCTTCTAAAGCAGAGCCTGGGTTGTAATTCCTGACTCCCGTGGGGCACCTTAGGTTCTGGAGACAAGCTTCTCTGTGTTTTCAGTGGACGGTCGACAAGTTGCTGGCGGGGTTTCCCAGCCAGGGAGCCACCATGACACTTTAAGGCCCAGCGTTCATGCATTTTTCATTCTACAAATCTTTATTGACTTTGGATGGAAACAGGGAGACCAATTAGGATGTTATCGTCATAGTCTAAGCAAGAGAGAATGATTTTTGAACCGGGGGAGTGGCGGTAGGGATGAATTTAAGACAGATTTAGGAGGCAAGAGTCAATCACTGATTAGCTGTCAGCAGTGAAAAAGAAGGAATCTTAGAAGATTCTAATGTGAGCATCTAACCGGACGAGAGTGCCACCAACCAGTGGCCACCAAATTCGGGGCAAGGGCAGATTTAGGGGGCAATGATGACTGGAGCTGTGGAACATCCAGATGTGGATGCCTAGCTCTAGCCTGGCTCTCCACACCCCCAAGGACCCACCTCCACCCTGCTGATCCGTCCTTATAGCCCATTTCTTCCTGCTGTCCTGCCTCTTCTTGGCCAGGGTACCCCATCTGCCCCCATTCCCAGTTCATTCCCATCCCTAAGCCTTTGTTCATGTTTTCTTCCCGCTAGAATCTCGCCTTCGCCATTCCAAACGCTTCCCTTAAGTCAATATTCGCCTGCCCTCTGTGCTCACCAGGGGCAGTCCTGGGGCGCTTCCTGGCGTCTTTGAGTTCTGGCGTTGCTTCTGTGACATTTGTTGTTGTGCGGTGACCCAGGCAAGGGTGTCTCCCCAGAGGCGCCTTGTGGAGGTCCGGTCACTGCCCACCTGCTTCTTCCTCCTGCAACGTCACTCCACAATGAGCAATGATGGGATACTGCGTTAAGGGGCCGTCGGACAACAGCTGGGCAAAGCTGCTGTCGGGAAACACCGGACAGGTGCGATAGCACCAGAAATAGCCTCTTTGTTTCCAGGGGAACACTGGACGTCAGGCATATTGCTGCCTGCAGTTTGTGCGCTGAAACACTTCCATTCCATCTTGAAACAAAAACGATACAGGGCCCTGCACCTGTGTCCCCTTCAGCTTGTAGGACCAAACTTAGCCTAACATGGTCCCCCATTGCCACTGGCTTACAGGAGGACCAAACTTAGCCCAACATGGTCCCCCATTGCCACTGGCTTACAGGAGGACCAAACTTAGCCTAACATGGTCCCCCATTGCCACTGGCTTACATGAAGCCAGGCCTCTCGGGGAAGTCGGACAAGCTGCTTATCACTTCCTCTGGGTTCAGAGATTCAAGATGAAGGGATCTCCCATCTCAGTCCCAGGCTTTCCCGAGGTGAAGTGTCACAGAACTGCCTTGAGTATGAAATGCATGATGAAGCCCCAGTGACTCTTGGCCAAATTAAACTTGACATTAACCAGAGCCCAAGAAAAGGCTCACTTCCGTGCCCCTGAGTCTCTGCATATTACAATAAACAGCAAAGCAGTTTGTGACACACATGTCATTCGGAGACCAGAGGCCAGGGCTGCTCCTCCCTGGAATCACAGGCTCCTGGCATCTGGCCGGCACCTCCCCATAGGATACTTGGGGTCAGCTGCTTTCTATATGTAGAGTCAAGAGCTCCGAGGACAGGTCCTGTTGAAGGAAAGGCTGCAGAGCGAGACCCTGCTGCTAAATCAAGGGATTGATCTGTCAGACCAGTTCAGATTACCAGTCGGTGAGCCGTTCACAGGATTTATACACTTGTGGGTCCAGGAGGTCTTCGTAGCGAATCCATTCATTCATTCACTCATTCATGTATTTATTAATTCAGCAAATAGTTGTTCAGTGTCCAAATGTTCTAACTCGTGAGGTTATCTAGAAGTTAGTAAGACCACTTAACAATTCAGTCTCCTGGGGAAGACAGACATGTAAAAAAAGTTCAGTCCATGGCTTCCTACTACACCGTGAAGCTTAACAGAGCTTGCCCTCACTAAGAATCACAGTTCAAGGCTTTTATACCTTCAGAATACCCCAACCAGGGGAAGCCATCATCAGTTCCTCCAAGATGCCTCTAAACAGCTGGAGCTTCCGGGGTGGGGGGTGCAGAACCAGCCCCCCAGTCATAGCCAGTGTTTCCATTCTCAGAGAGCTGAAGTGGGCCTCTGACTCTAAGGAAAACTGATGCATACGTGTTGGGAGTCCCATTAAATCACTACTCATACATGAGCAAGTGTGCACACACTGACCCACAGGTGATGACGGTGAGCAATGGGCTTCTCTTTGGATATGACTTCTTTGAAGTCAATTAAGCAGCTACCATACAGCATGCCCTTCTATTCGTGGAGAAGCTTTCTGCCTGCAGTGGCCTTTCCCAGGCTGGGCAGCAACTGGGTATCCACGGCCCTGCCCCAAGAGCTTGGCTGACCACCCTCATCCAAAGCCCACCTGGGCAATTCAAGGCCTTTGAGGAACCCCTCTTGTCTAGGATTCCAGAGGTGGAATGATAGTCTGATGGTAGGATCAGCGGTGTGAGCTCTGGAAAGGACATCAGAAAGTCCTCCACATCTATCCTGAAGGTATGCAGATAGAGAAGTGTAAATGGTAGCCGCTGATGTCAGTCACTTAATGTGGTTTATCAGTCAGGATAGGGCAGGTTATGCTGCAGTAACAAATGATCCCCAAATCTATTGGCTTAAAATAACAAAGGTTTGTTTTCCATTCCTACCACATGTCCTTCTCGGGTTGACTGTAGCTCTGCTCTATGTTAGTTTCCCACTGGGATCCAGGCTAACAGAAAAGCCTCTATCTAGAACATTGTTGATCTCATGGCAGATGGAAAAAACACGTGGTGAACCATGGACTGGCTTGTAAAGCTTCTGCCCTAAGATGACACGTCACTTGCACTCACATTTCATTGGTCAGAGCAAGTCACAAGGCCAAGTGCTATCAGTGGGTCAGAAAAGTATGTTGAGAACAGAAGGGAGGGAGGATCCCACGTGCCGCGGAGCGGCTGAGCCCGTGAGCCATGGCCGCGCATCTGGAGCCCGTGCTCCGCAACGGGAGAGGCCACAACAGTGAGAGGCCCACGTATCGCAAAAAAAAAAGAAAAAAAAACCACACTGATGTGCAGATGTTGCTGTTCCACCTTTGTGAGTTATACATCCTGTTTACCCACTGCTTTCCATGGGATCCTTTGGGGAGAGGAGCGAGAACTTCAGGAGAAAGGAAAATCTCTCTCAGTTTATTTAAGTGCACTGAAAAAATGAAATACAATCTGTTAAGTCTGTGAAAGCCTGCACCATCTGGTAAAATGCAGTGTGATGCTTCCCAGGAGGCAACATCTGTGGGTCAGGTAGGGTGGCACGCTGCTCCCCTCACCCGGGAAGACACGGAGCTCCACAATGATGGCCTTGCCAAGGCACATGCCTCTCTGTGGACAGCCACCTGTCCAGGGAGGTGGGGTCCTGGAAGCTGGGCTGGGCTTGGCAGGACACTATGCCGTGTGATAGAAAGAAAATTGCTGGGGGTCTGAGAGCTGGGCTTGCCTCTAGCTAGCTGAGTGGCTGTGTGATCCTGGTCAAGTCATTTCCCCTCTCTGGGCCTCAGTTTCCATGTTTGTAAGATGTGTAGGAGCTTGGGGGTGGGTAGGGATATATTGGGAGTATGGGATTAACATATGCACACTACCATATATAAAACAGATAAACAACACAATTTACTGTATAGCACAGGGAACTATATTCACTATCCTGTAATAAACTATAATGGAAAAGCATCGAAAAAAGTATATAAATATATACATATGAATATATGTATAACCAAATCACTTTGCTGTAACCTGAAACTAACACAATTTTATAAATCAACTATAGTTCAATTTTTTAAAATGTGCAGTAGGTTGCAAGATCTCCCTCCAGGTTGATTGAGGTGGTGCAGCGGGAGTGTGGGCTTCAGGGCTGGCAAGCCCTGATGATGGGTCCCCTTACTAGCTGGTTGTGATTCTAGGCTCGCTGAGCATCAAGTTTCTTATCTGTAAACTGGAATCGTAATCGTATTCACCACATTGATGAGTAACTAAGAAAAAGCACTGAAGTACTTAAGTCAAGTCTGACACTCACTCAATGCCCGATAAAATGTTCCAAGGAAACTAAGAATAAAGGTCTGTCAAAATTATAATTCAAAAAGATACATGCACCGCTATGTTCATAGCAGCACTATTTACAATAGCGAAGATATGGAAACAACCTAAATGTCCATTGACAGATGAATGGATAAAGATGTGGTACATATACACAATGGAATGTTACTCAGCCATAAAAAAAGAATGAAATAATGCCATTTGCAGCAACATGGATGGACCTAGAGATTATCGTACTAGGTGAAGTCCGAAAGAGAAAGACAAATACCATATGATATCACTTCTATGTGGAATCTAAAATATGACACAAATGAACTTATTTACAAAACAGAAACAGACTCACAGACATAGAAAACAGACTTGCAGTTGTCAAGGAGTAAGGGAGGTGGGGAGGAGGGATAGAGTGGGAGTTTGGGGTTAGTAGATGTAAGCAATTACCTATAGAAAGGATAAACAACAAGGTCCTACTGTATAGCACAGGGAACTATTTTCAATACCCTGTGATAAACCATAATGGAAAAGAATATATAAAAGGGTCGCATTATTCTGGGGAGTTCTAGGAAGATGAACTTCAAAGATGAAGTCTTTGGTCCAAAGACTACATATCTCCCATTCCCCAGCCACCCCCAAATCTCTACCTGCTACCGCCATGATAGAGTTCTTTCTTTCAAATACCTATGGAGGGTGATAATCTTTAAGGTTTTGTTAGTCGTTAAAACATTAGTGTGAATTAGCTTATCGGGTAAGTAAAATGGACATCAAATAAGTCTCAAGGATTATAGGAGAACAAGAAATATTGATGAGAGGTGGGAGGCATGAACAAGAGGCTGGATGAACAGGCTCATGTGAGCATTGGGTGATGCCCGGAAGCATCTCATGGAGGCACTGGGTAGTAGAAAAGGCAGTTAGAAACATTAATGGAGCACCTACTATGCGCCAGGCATGCTACCAGGCAAAAGCCCCAAGAAAAACGCATTAATAACGTAGTCAACGCTGCCCACACTTCCCCTTGATGAGCATAGCTGCAGGGTGATCGTAAATTAAGAGACCGGAATCTCCACTCCCACCTCCCACCCCACCGCATCTCAGTCACTGCAGGTCCCAGAGGCCTTTCCCAGGGCGAGCTCCTCACGGGGCTAAGCAGAGCATCTGCTCTAAGGATACAGATGTGTCACACAGCCAGCTTTCAGTTGCAAACCCATGGGCCTCTGTTCCAAGGCTACAGGGATAACTGGCTAGGTTAAACATTTTCAAAGAAGTGCATCGGTTTCCAATATGGCACCTTCCTGAGGGATTTTCATGTGTCATTTTAACTGTAGATGTTTGTAGTGGCTGACTCTGAAACGCAGCCCGTAGGTGACATGAGGCCCTGATATACAGAATTCAGAAGTCCAATGATCCCAGACAAACGGCAGGTAATACACACCCCCACTGTCCATGAAACCCATTTACAACTGCCGGGTCAGTGCTGTGCCAGGTGGGAGCCCACACACACTTGGTCCCCTGCACCGAGCATACTTTGGACTCCCTGGCTCTTGTTTGCTGGTATCAGGGAGCCCCTGACCTTCCTCCTCCCCTGAGTAGCTGAGCCCTGCCCCTCTGTGGGACGTAAGGATGCAGAGAACACTGCTGGCAGCACCTGAGCTTCAGTGGGAAGTCCATGGCGGCCCAGTTATCCTCCCAGCTGGGCCGTCCTGTCTCCTGGGCCAGCCTTGCCGGCTCACTCAGCTCCGCCCTCCACAAAGCTGTTGGTGTGATTCTCCCAAGACACAAATCTGTCTATGGCACTCCCACGGCCTCAGGATATCCTTAGCCTGGAATCACAGTGGTAGCAGAAATCATAACAGCTCTAACAATAACGACAGGGTTATAGCTAACGTGGAGTGAGCTCCGCTCATCGCGTGCCAAGCATGCTGCCCCAAGTGCAGGTGCTGTCTCTTATTCAGTTCCCACAACAGCTGGGAGGGCAGGTGGCAGAGAAGGGGGTGGAGAGTCGGAAAGGTGAGGTCACTGGTCACAGTCACAAGGCTAGCAAGCCAGGCCACCACCAGGCATCAGGTTCAAGTTCTGCTGATTTCAGAACCCGTGTTCTCAACTGCTATACCATTTGGCCTAAACGAACGGTTGGAAAAAAGCGTGGTGAGTGCAAAGTGACTCATGCTGTTTCTCGTGGGGTCAGGACCTGAACTTTCCCCGTCACAGCTCTGATCACACTGCATTCCAATTGTCTGTCAATGTGTTGGGTGTGAGTTCCTCCAGGTCAGGGACTGTGCTGATTCACATTTACTTTGCCAGCACCCAGCAGGGGTCTTGGCACCCGATTGGTGCTCAATAAATGGCTGACAGGGTAACGGATGGATGAGCGCGTGAATGAATCCATGGATCCGAATCAAACCCTGGCCTTTTTCAGGATCCTTGTCTGCTTATCGAAACCCCCAGGGTAATCTCATTTCTCTAAATTCCCCCAGCACTTTTTTCTTGTATAACAGTTAATTGCACTCTGTCCTCCCACATGCAATACTTTTGTCTGTAAGTTACTGTTGCCTCCGCAAGCTGACCATAAGCGGCATGGGCAAGGATGGCATTTAACCCTTCTTTTCCCGAGTCACCTAGCTCTGGCTGAGCACCTAGCTCTGGGTAAGTATGCCAAGTAGTTCATTCTGACCCAGGAACAGAAAACAGAACGTGAGGACACCCACCCTGGGAGGAATGACCCTTTGTTCTTTCTGTCCCCATCCCCCTGCAGGAGCCTCCTCTGGCATCATCGACCTCTTGCCGTCCCCCAGCGCCGCCACCAACTGGACCACAGGGCTGCTGGTGGACAGCAGCGAGATGATCTTCAAGTTCGACGGCAGGCAGGGTGCCAAGATTCCTGACGGGGTTGTACCCAAGAACCTGACGGATCAGTTCACTATCACCATGTGGATGAAGCACGGCCCCAGCCCTGGCGTGAGAGCTGAGAAGGAAACCATCCTTTGCAACTCAGATAAAACCGGTGAGTCTTGCATCCAGACCTCCTGGTGTCTGCCCACTCTGTCCCAGCTGGTCAGGCACGGCCACGGCCACCAACGGTGTGGGAGAAAAGCGGGAGTGTGAGAGGGGCCCTGGGAAAATATTCTGGTCCCTGGTTTTCTGGCTGATGATTTCCTCGCCTTGGGGTAGAGCAGGACCAGGAAAGGGAGGCAGGGTACAGACACAAAGAGTCAAAAAGCTGGGATTGGTGGTTTTCAGACCGGGTTCTTCAGAACCCCAGTGTCCCCAGAAGTAACTCAGGGCTGCTATATGAGTTGGGATTGGGGGAGGAGCCTTCATCCTTACTTCAAGCAAAGCAGCTCTACCTTCACTGTATTATATTAATATATAGACAGATTTCCAGAAGTTTATTTTCAATGGAAGGGTCCTGCTAATTTACAACAGCAGTCTGAAAATCACTGCTGTGCATAATGATGATAGCTAAGTTTTGTTAGGCATTTTTCAGCTTGCTGAGCCTGTGTAAGGCAGTTCACAGCTTGGTGGTTAAAAACACTCCACCATCATGGGCTTCCCTGGTGGTGCAGTGGTTGGGAGTCTGCCTGCCAATGCAAGGGACACAGGTTCGTGTCCTGGTCCGGGAAGATCCCACATGCCACGGAGTGGCTGGGCTCGTGAGCCATGGCCGCTGGGCCTGCGCGTCCGGAGCCTGTGCTCCGCAATGGGAGAGGCCACGGCAGTGAGAGGCCCGGGTACTGCAAAAAAAAACAACAACAACATTCCACCACTTTTTGGCTGCGTGATCTCGGGCAAGTGGGTTAACCTCTCTATGCCTCACTTTCTCAGTCTATAAAATGGGCATTATAGTATTATCTACCTCATAGGGTTTTTATCAGCATTAAATGACAATGTATGTATAGTGCAACAGAACAGTACCTGACGCACCGGAAGTCTAATCTGTGTTAGCTCTTCCTATTCTAAACAGTACCTCACATCTCTACAAACAATTTTACGAAAGCATTATTGTGTTTCCTGTTTTAAGGATAAGGAAACATCCCTGAGACTAAGTAACTTGTCCCAAGTTATTCAGCTGGTAAGTATCAGAACTGGAATCTAAGCTTAGATCCAGCTAACTCTATCGCTATGCTCTGGTCACCACACCCCACATGCAAACACACACACACACACACACGCAGACCACACCCCACATGCAAACACACACACACACAAATACTCTGATATCTTATGAAAATGTTATGTCTATCTTAAATTATAAGTCCACCTTTTCCCATTTCAAATGCTCCTCTTGTTAAAACACCCCAAATAAATAACTACCCTACACTACAGTAGATAGTGCAGTGAGAAGACAGGATAGAAGAATGGCTGACCGTTCAGCTTTGCTGCTCAACAGCCAAAGTTCACATGGCAGCTTTTCCACTACTTAAGGAAAATCGAGGAGTTGCTAATCTCACTGAGCCTTAGTTTCCCCATATGTAGAATGGGGAAAATAAACATGAAATAAGGTATGAAATCCCTTAGCAGCTCCAGATAAAAAATCTGTGCCCGACTAATTAACCTGATGTTGTTATTGTCATAATCATTATTATTTCTAGTTTTATTCCACATTATACAGCTACCGGGACCCCACATTTCCTGTTTCAATCAATATTTGTGGTAAAAGCCAATGTATTTTCTGGATATAGAAACGGAAACAGGGGGAGTTGCCCAGCTTTTCCCAGTCATATGGTGAATCTGTGTCAGAGCCAGTGCCAAGGATCTGTTTTCCTGGTCCTTCGTATAGGAAGGACTCTGCAGACCCGCTTAAGGTGGCACTGAGGTCTGGGACTGGGTCCAGAGCTCAGGCCAGGACCCCAGGAATCACCCTGTGGCCCCATCTTCGTGGTGTCTGGTGGGCTGTCCCCACCATGATCCAGAGCCAGCATCAAGGAGACAATGGCTTAGGAGTATACAGATGCATGCAAAGCAGCCCTGGCTGGGGTTAGCGCCCACACACATATAGTCCTTTCTGAAATGTATCAAATACCCCTGGGAGGCAGGCCTGACAAATATAGACCTCTGGCTTACACAGGAGGAAATTAGAATATGAAAGGTTGAGCAACTGGCCGAGGATAACACAACTGATTATCAAAGGAACAGACTTGGCCCTAGCTCCTCTGGCCCGTGTTTCAGGTCCACGCTACTAGACCAGCGGCTCTCAACCCTGCTCTTCACTAGAATAACCTGGCGACCTTGTAAAAGTACCTAGATGCCAGGGCCCTGCCCCAGCTCAGGAAGTCAGAGTCTGGGCGATTCTTTTGTGCAGCCATGGCTGAAAACTCTGCGTCAGATGATGATGCCTCACTTTCATCAGAGCAGCACCCCGAACAGGCATGTCAGCCCCTCCAACCCGCAGGTTCTGGAGCTGCTCAGCTTTGGGTTCAGTATAAAGTAGCCCTTTGCAAATCAGTTCAACGCTGGCACAAGAAAAGATGCGGAAGATTTTCCTCTAATTTCTCTGCCTTAAAAAAATACCTATAGAGATCTCCTTGCCCTAAATAAAAAATTATCAGGAACAAATTAAAATTTGATTAGAGCTTTTATATGTCAGAAAAATGTCCAAGTTATAAAAGCTACACACGTTTATAACAGGCAGCCTAAAAAACACAGAAGAGTATAAAAGAATACAAAAAGTCACCTAAAATTCTAATACTTGGAGGGATTTTCTGTTAACAGTTGGTATATTTCACTACCAAATGAAATCTTATTTTTACTTCTATGTATATGAAGAATGCTGTTACAGTTTTCCATCTATTTTTATAATACATGGGATACCATTATGTTATGTTTCTCTTAAATAACATTACATATATCCAAGATCATTTCTCTATGTGATAAAATATTCTTTAAAAATAAGAATTAGGGCTTCCCTGGTGGCGCAGTGATTGAGAGTCCGCCTGCCGATGCGGGGGACACGGGTTCGTGCCCCGGTCCGGGAAGATCCCACGTGCCGCGGAGCGGCTGGGCCCGTGAGCCATGGCCGGTGAGCCTGCGCGTCCGGAGCCTGTGCTCCGCAGCAGGAGAGGCCACAACAGTGAGAGGCCCGCGCAAAAAAATAAATAAATAAGTAAGAATTACATGACAGTCTTCTGTTATTAGGCTTTATTATACTTCATTCAATTGGCTCCCTTTTGTTAGACATTTAGATTGTCTCCTTTTAAATGCAAATAAAACAATGCTGTAATAGGCATTCTTGTAATATATAATAAGCATTCTTGTATATACCTGTATGGATGCTTCTGATTATTTCCTGACCAGAAGCTGAATTACGGAGTCAAAGAATATAAATGTTAGGAAGGCTATCGACGTAAATTACCAAGTCGCCCTTAGTGAAAATTGCACTCGTTTCTGTCTTGCCCACTAATTAAAACTTACCAATGCTGGCCTATCATGAGGTAATTTATTAATAGTTGGATAGCAGAATTGATTAGTCACCAAGGGCTAATTGCAGTTTTCAGAAAGAAAGAAAACCACTCTCACCACCAACAAGAAGCATCTCGACGACTAACACCCTTTCATCAGTTTTTCCTCCTGCCATTGTCCAGCAACCCGAGGTGGGGCTGGGGAATAAGGCTGCTCAGCTTTGCTCAGACATTCAGGGACTCAAGGTACGTCAATTATGTATCGTTGCCCTTTTCAACCACAGAACAGAAAGTTAGAATAGAGGGTTGAACACAGAAGGGTTTTATTAGCTGGACCAGAAAGTGGTGTGCCTCACTTCTACTCACACTTTCTGGGCCAGTATTTGTTCCCAAGGCTCCAACTAACCATGGGAGTAGCAGTGATATGAGTTAAGCTACGTGTCTAGGAGCAAAGGAAACAAGGTTAGCTGAATACCCAGCAATGGCTCTACCGCACGGATACTGCATGAGGCACTGGTGCCCCCTCCAACACCATCTTTGTTGGCCCTTTTCTTTCCATTCCTGGTGTGAGCAGTTTCTTTCCTGCCCTGTCTTAGAAACTTCTCTCCCAACACACATCTGCTCCTCCTGTAGGACCCCTTCTTCCTGGCATGCAGCTCTCTTGCTAACTCTGCGTGTCATCTGAATGATACGTGCCACTTGTAGTGCTAGCTACTTTCATACAGGGCTTTCCAAGGCAGAGGGGCCAACCTGGTCCAGCAATCACCAGATGACAGAGGCAGAGGTGCCAGCCTGCTAGAGAGTCCTGGGATGGTCCCCCAGCCTGCTGGGAAAGAAACACTCCCACACTTCCAGAGATGCCCAGAAAACCACTCAGAGAGACCGAGGTTGTCTGAGGTAGAGAGGAGGTGGGAATCTCACTCCCAGCTGCCTGTTGGCTGAGCTGCAAACACTTGTACATCTGCTCCAGGCTGGCGTTGGAGCAGAGCCCAGGAGAGCTCTGGGGAAGTTTGACTCGTGTCCCAGGAGTTTAGGGTACATGAAAGCTGGACTTGACTCTTGCCCAGGGGGTGCGAGGGCAAGAGGCTGGTGGGGGCTGCCTCAGCGGTGGGGTGAGAAGAGAGGGGCAGCGGGGGAGGGGCGGCCCTACTACAATTTGGCGGAACACGGATGTTTCTGTTCTAGTCATGGGAACCAAGTGGGCAACCAGAAATGGTCACAGCTACAGCCAAGGGGTCTGCATGCCAGGAAGAGGGGATCCATCAGGAGGAGGAGATGTGGGTGGGAGGGGGAAGTGACCAAGGGAGGGCAGGAGCTGAGGGGAATCATGAAAGGTGTCAATCATGGAAACATCACTTACACCAGGAATGGAGAGGTAAGTGCCAAGAAAGGTGGGATTGAAGCTGGCACTAATGTCCCAGGAAGGACTGACTCACTTATCAGATCAATTCCTATGTAAAGGGTATAACAGGTCCTTTCTTATGGGTTTGGTGGGTGGGGAAAGGAGGGCTAAAAACATATTTCACCGGGGCCCAAACCCACTTCCGTGGCCATGGGCGGATCTCTGCAGAGCCTCTCCAAAAACCAGCCGGTGCACCCATGTAGCAGCCCATATGTAGACACCCACATGACAGAGGACACTGGACATCCCTGGGAAAATGACAAACTTCACTGCTTCTTTAAAGAGACTCCACTTCTTTCCTTCTTAGCTGCTTTCCCCTGCCCCTGACCATGACTGGAGCTGGAGGAGGTTCGGGGAATGAAGGAAGAGTAAAAGAACACACCTTCCTCATCCTTTCCCCACTGGCGGCCACCAAGCCACGGGGCGAGGCTGAGTAGTGAAGATCTTTTAAGTGATGAGACACTGTTGTTTGATCTGGAGAGAACCCTTACAGACTATTTTAATATTTGAAAGTGACCAGAATACGGTAGGATCTGCCAGAGACGTGGGCAAAGGAACGGAGGGGAGTTGCCAGGGAGAACACTGAAGGACAGGGAAAGAAGTGAAGCTGATTTCTGGGTGTATCATGTTACACTCAGTTACCCTGGTGTGGGTGGTGACCCCAGGGGCGTGGCTAACGGAGGGCGGGGGAGGGAGGAACCTCTGGAGGGAGGCCAGGAGTTACTCCCGTGAGGTCTGTCCTTTCTTCTTCCACCTCTTCACCACAACCTCTCCTGAATCCAAACGAAGCTAAAGGGGAGAAATCCGCTTTCTGTATCTTTCTGATAGTTATCAGCAGAAACTATAGGAAATCAGTTTAAGCAATAGTGAGGGAAACAAGAAGTATTTAGTAAAATCCCCATAACCAGACCTGGGTGTTTCATCAGTGCAAAGGTGGAGTGGTCACCCGAACATTGGCCTTGGCCAAACCTACAACACTTGGCAACTAAACGTTCTCCTTCCTTCCATCCTTTGGTTGCATCCTGAAGAACGGTAACGCTTTTGTGAAAACGGCATCTGACACTATTTTGTTATGTCATCATGGTCGCGAGGCAGTGTAACAGTCCTTGTAATAACTAACAGTCATTGAGCATCTGTTCTGGGCAGATGCTTTACACACATTTCCTCATTGTATCAGTTAAGATGCTTTCAGTTACAAGGAACAGGAAGTACAGATCAAACTGATATCAGATGATTAAAAATCAAAATAATAACGGGAATGTAGGGTTCTTGTAACTAACAGAGCTGAACAGCTTCAGGTAAAGTGTGATCAAGGTCCTGGGTCCTTTTCTCTGCAATTTTTCAGATCTGCTGCCATATGTATATCAATTTCATGTTAGCAAATATGGCTGCCTCAGCTCCAAGCTTCCCACTTATATACTGCAACTTCTAGAGAGAGGTGGCGGTCTCTTCTATTTGCTTCCTGCTAAGAGATAGAGAGTTCTTTCCCAGAACTACTCAGAAGAGCTCCAGAATCACTGGCCTGACTTGAGTCACTTTCGTGACAGAAGGCCCATGGCCAGGAGAATGGCCTGCACTACTGAACTCGGGCCTGGGTCCTGAACCACTCGCTGTGGCAGGGGGCTTTTCATGAGCTTATTTGGCTGAAACCAACTGAAAGCCCATGCCTAGAAGTGGGACTGGTGTTGATTCCTCCCACTCATACCTCCACGGGCAAGGTTTCTACAGGATGTGCAAGAATCAATCACAATATCCTATTCTCATGATACATCAGGATAGCCCAGCATCCCTGTCATGATACAATGAAGGAAATCGAGCCTCTAAGAGGCTGAATAACTTTCTCAGCATCATCTAGAGATACAGCTCCACCCCAAGTCTCTCTGAATCTAGGGCCCATGCCCTTTCTGCTGTATCTGGTCACCTGCTCATTAGCCCAATATTTATGAAACATGTGCATCATATTAGAGTTCTGTGTGTGCTACTATGTGTGAGTCCTCTGAGTACTGGTCGAAGAACAGCTCCTCACCTTCCCAGGGCTGTTATCTTGTGACTATAGGACATCATGGCTGGGACCCATGATGTGATTTTTTTTTTTTTTTAAAGCGGGAAAGGAAGTTTTTTTATAGGGGAGAGAAAAGTCCCATCTGTTGTCTGTGTATGGGGAAAGAAGTATTTATTCATTGCTTTGGAAATTCAGGGAACTATGTCTAACGCTGCGAAATCAATGTCCCCTCCTCCCAGCAACTAAAAGTGAGGCAGCTTTCCTTCACTGCACACAGATTAGGCAGAAGAGGAGGCATGCTCTGTGGTTGCTGTTGGCAAGCCTGATGAAATAAAATAAAAGCCCAGAACTCTGGGAGAATCCAGCTATGTTAAAGGAACCCAGAGTGGCTGATGTGATTGTCAGAGAGGCCCTCTGACCCTCCCAGAGTATATGTAAAAAAAAACAAAAAGAGCTTGTGAACCTATGTGATTTTAGCCAGGACCTGATGCAGTATCTGAGTATAAGTTAGGTTGGTATTTAAAGCCCAAATGGCTTCTCAGCAGAAGTTTTGCTGTGAGCTTTCTTGAATCTTCCTCTTTCATTTCAGAGAGCTCCACTATGTGTGTTTTAGAACTATTTATTAGACCCAGTTGCAGAAGAGAAAACTGGAATGCCTGTTTTTTTGTTTTCTGAGGTGTGCTAAATGATGGAGTGGAGATCAGCACAGGGAATCTGGAACCCCTCAAATCCTCTTTCTGCTTTTCAGAAATGAACCGGCACCACTACGCCCTGTACGTGCACAACTGCCGCCTTGTCTTCCTCTTGCGCAAGGATTTCGACCAGGCAGACACCTTCCGCCCCGCGGAGTTCCACTGGAAGCCGGACCAGGTATGGCGCTCACAGCGCGCTTGCGCCCTGCTCAGCCGCGTGCGGGGATGGTTGGTTGGTCTAGGGATGGTGGCAGTGGGTAAGCATCTCACGGTTCTGGTCACTTGCTGATTTGGGGGAAAATCAACTCTGGGAAACACACAGCATCTTAAAGTCGGGATGGCAACTGCAGCCTTAAAGACCAGTCGGAGGTGGGGAGGGCCACACTTCCCGGCTAGAACCCGCACCCGACAGTAGGTGCCAGCGTGCATCTTGTCGACTTTCTCTGCGCGGAGGTCCTGGGAAGCTGATCCTCTCGATCCCCAGGCCCAGTTTCTGATCTTTGTTAGCGCATATTTATGTCATAAATGCTCCGTGTCTCCTCTTTGATGCTCTCTTTGGGAGACGGTGCAGCCTCGCTTTTGGTGACACAGGTTGAGAACAGGGACCTGAGGACTTTGAAGTCATCAGTGACACAGTGCCCTGTGAGCAGTTCATGTTCTTTTCTGAAGTGGGAAAATCTCTGCCTCACTCCAGGGCCTTCTGGCTTGTGATCACAAGGGCCGCTGTGTCGTACTTGTCAATGACAAATGAAGTGTCTGGTTGGAATCAAAAGCTTTGAAGTGTCTGTTTCGGAGGGCTGTGCAGCGCTGAGATTGAGGAGGTGGCACTTCTCTGGGCGGCCGTGCCGCTTAAGAAGTGTCAGTGCAGCAAGCCCAGAGTTGGCCTTTGCTTAGATTTGAAGGTGGGGGGCATGAATTTTTGTTCAATGGTTTTACATTGTCAGAAGGGAGGGTGGCAGTCAGCAGGGAAGAGGGTCATCGAATGGATGCTGCTTAATGAAGCAGATGAAATGATGCTCATTCTACTGCATCTCTTTTTTGCTTTCTTTCTGCCCAACCCATATTCTGAGAGCTTCTGGGGCCCCCAGTCTTCTTTTCTCCCTCCAAACCCCGCTGTGGGTGCCACCTGCCTCATCTTGTCTAGGACTGAACGTTTCATAATCCTTTCCCTTCTCTTTCCCAATTACCCGTGTCTACCCCACCCTCTCCCTTTTCTACCCAAGCTCTCTTGGGTAACCCCCAGTGGGGCTGATCTCAGAGTGTGTCACTGGGAAGCATGCCAGAAGGAACTCATTTCCACCAAGATGAGTATGATTGCTACCCCCCTTCCTCCACACAGAAGTACTGACATAGGCTCTTTAAAAGAGAGATTCATTAACCTCAGGGAACGTCTCAATGGTGGAACATCAGGCAGCGTGACAAGGTCAAGGATGCCAGGTTGATGCAAAAGATGTCTGAGAGAGCCCTGTGGCAACTGCCTAGTCCATTGTCAGTAAATCCCATCCTGCTGTACCCCGGGGTTTTGGAAATATGGCATCTGGATTAATATATGTTCCTCTGTTTTAGGAATACTGGGTCTTGCAGAAATTATGCTATCTTGACATTGTTTATTTGACTTCCCGGCAGCCTCTCAACTAACTTCTAAAATGCCATTTGGCTTCTATGGGATGTTTTTATAAATACGTAATACGAATTGAGATAAATTAAAATAGATTCCATATCATGAGGGGTTTTAATTTAAAAAAACATTGCTATACTGGCTGAGATCATTATAGATGCCCTGCAGCATTTCCTAAGATGGGATTGAGAAGCACTGATACAGGCAAATGAAGTCACAGTGTTTGGAATTTAAAATAGGTGAGGAACGAATTCTGGTTCTACAGGTAAAAAATATAGTGAATTTAGGAATTCTGAAATCTGTTCCCAAAGTGGTGAATTGAAGGAGGGGCTGAGAGTCACTGAATACCTCCCAAACTACTCTGATCTCATTTATTACCATTCATGGGTGCCCTCTCTGTGCTAGGCACGCTGCATGAGTGGCTCATTCTCATCTCTGCCCCAGTCCTGCCAGGTGGATAATATGAGGCAGGAGACCACGGTCCAGTAACTTGCCCAAGGTCACACAGCAAACCGTGGTTAGGACCTGCTTTTTCCGTATGTTAGGCTGCCTCTTTGGTGCACTTGCTAATTAAAATTTTAAATGTTTTTATTTTTTAATTTAAAATTAATTTAGAGATAGGAATTATGCAAAGTGAAAAATGTTTACAGTCTTGATGAAACCCTGTGAAACTGTCAAATCTTCACTTGGCTTAAGCTCAGTCTTCCTTGTCTTAGCTTGGGCTGCCACAACCAAATACCACAGCCTGGGTGGCTTAAACAATTCTAGAGGCTGGGAAGTCCAAGATCAAGGTGCCAGCCAACTCCATCCCCCCCGTGAGGGCCCTCTTCCTGGCTGTAGACAGCAGCCTTCTCACTGTGTCCTCACATGGTGGAGAGAGCTTGGGTACATTTCCTTCTTCTTATACGCTGTGAGCCCTATTGAATTAGGGCCCCATCCTTATGACCTCATTTAACCTTCATTACTTCCTAATGAAGGTTAGGCCCTTTCTCCAAATTCAGCTATGTTTGGGGGTTAGGGCTTCAACATATGAATTTTGCAGGGACATAATTCAGTCTGTAGTATTCTTCTACTAAAGAAATTAATATTAAAAAATGTAAAGGCTGCCTATTGATGACCAGAAGCCCCAGCTCACTCGGACAGCTGCTCATGCCCTGAAAGGAGCCACAGTGGGTGGGATATAGGAAACCTCCACCAAACTCATGCTAGCAATCCAGCTAGAAGGCCCAGCTTTCTCTGTCCCCTATTTAACTCCCTATGTAGACAGAAACTTACCAGAAGTTTCTTGGAAGTAAATCACTTGATGCCCAAACTGTGTATACCTGATAGAGTATCCTCCCTCAGGAAGCCATCCCAAGTCACCCTGTGAGTAGTTTGCCTCTCCTCTGTGCTCCCCAGACTCCCCAATACTTACTCTATCCTAGTGACCCATTTGTCCTTTGTCTCTGCTCACTTGGTGCTGAGATCCTGGTGGGCAGGACTGTGTCTTACTCTCCCCAAATTCTCAGTGCAAATTGTAGCCCTGAGCACACAGTTGGTGCCCAGTAAAAGTTGGCCTAACAATGAAGGGATACTGAGATCAAAAGAAAGGAGAAATGGAGTGAGGGAGGGAGAGAGGGAAGAAAAAAGGAAAATTGAGATCTTTTAAAACCTCCTGGTGGGGCTTCCCTGGTGGCGCAGTGCTTGAGGGTCCGCCTGCCGATGCAGGAGACGCGGGTTCGTGCCC